CTTTTTATGTTGTCAAGTCTGTCATGGCTACTTTTTTGACTTCATTTTTTCAGGAAATTAATGTAAAGTTCCAGACATCTTGCTTCAGCACAAGGATTGCAATACAAATTTGTAACATGCCTCTGAGGTTTGAGATGTTGGAAACATTGAAATATTCCCAAATTTGTGAAAATTGTGTATTCTGTGACCCTTCTGTTAGAGAGGGGTGATCATAGACCAAATATGGCATTTTTTTCATTCATCAAGGCCTATTTTTAACCATAATTCATATTTATTGCACCTATTTTAGTTTATATGTGCATATGTTAGCCAGGGATGGTAAAACATAGCTGTTAGACAGATTCCTTTGGTAATGTAAGTTCTGCAACCATAGATTAGATTAATTCAATCAGTGGCATGTTCAGGGGGTAGGCATACATGTTTCAGTATAGATCTCTAATATTACAATCATTGCAACTGGTTTGCATTTTTTCTGTTTGCATATTGTCCACAGATTCTAAAAATATATTTCTTGTCCGTCCGGATATTTAAAAAAGTGGAAAATTATTGGTATTTTGAGAGATGCTACATGTAAATTTTGTACATTTTTCATCACATGGCAGTAAAAAATTATATTTTTGAAAAAAATTCCAAATTATGAGTGTTTTCTATGTAGTTTCTTTGTAACTTGTCTAATTTTTTCACAGAACTCAGATACTGCCTTTAATAAGAAAGATTTTTAAATTTTAGCACAAAAGGCCTATGGACCTGAGATGCACCAGTGTACATAAAGCAGCATGTGTACTTAAAGGGCCATCATTTTTACAGTTATTCTTTGATTTTGATTTTCTTTCACCGGCATGTTGCCAGAACACATGGGAAGGAAATAAAAAAGGCCTTTTGGTGATACCTGAAGTTTCACCCCTATATAGGACACAGATCACCAAATATTCCTACGCCGTCACCCACGAAACAAGGGCCAAAGCTATTTTTAGTCTTCCTCTCCCTTTTCCTTTTTCCCCCTTTTGCATGGCGATTTTTGTTGACTTTTTGGTGTAGAATTGAGGAAAAGGGTTTGAAAATACATTTTCTGCCAGGTTTTGGTGAATATTCATAATTTTGATGCGGAAGGATACAAGAGTTGAGAGGTTGGTTACGTTGAAATGTAGGGCCTGAAATTGCATGTTTACTTGTCTCTACTTCCAGCTTGTGTATCTCAAGTTTTTCATGAAGAACCTCATACGTGCTTTTGGGCAAGTGGTTGCCACATGTTGCTCCATCTGTGGTAGAAAGCGTTCTACCCAACGAAAATTTGGGAAAAAGTTAGAGCCGGTCTAAGATACGAGAATTAACATTGGAGTCAATGGGGCAATCTTTAGTGATCTGTGTCCAATTCTGTTTCAGTACTTTAATAGAGTAGTCTCCCTTGTGCACAGTTATGTAATGTCCGAAAAAAATAAACATATCTTAGAATCTACACTGCCTCTCCCAGCACCCCTATTTACAAACCATCCTGGTACTATAAACACGGCGACGAGTATGCTGGTTTACTAACGGACGTTGTTGAAATCAAATGTAATTGCTATTAATACTTGTAAGTCTTCCGATACTACAGGCTAATTAGATTTCTTAATAGTATTTTATTTCCGCTTACAGTGTCACTGTTGAAGGAAAGTACAGGATATCTCGGTATTGATCGAGGAAGTTCCTTGGGATGATCCCGTGCGAATTATCTTGCTCTTGGTGCACGGGCGGTGTCTGAAAGACCGAGGTCTCGTGTACACATTGGCGTGTACCCGTCTACATTATCCTAGTTACAGAAGGAGACCACGGTGACTAAGTGGGTAAGACGCTGACTCGCTAGCCTGGAGGTCGGGTGTTCGATCCCTGCATTAGCCGAGAAAGTTCATCCAGATTTTCCGGCGTGGTTCTCCCTTGTCAGTGATGCAGGACGGAGGGTCTGACAAGGACAGCTGTCTTGTTGTTCGGATGGTACGAAAAACCGAGGTCCCGTGTACACATTGGCGTGCACGTAAATGATCCCTTGACAGTTGGAATTCGATATAAGAGTAGGCCGTAGTGCCGCGGTCCGGGCAAAATTTCTCTCATAGTACACTGTATAGCGTATGCCCGTCTTCTTTAGCTCAGTTCGGAGCAGAACAGTAGGACATTAAACTCCATTTCATTTCATTTATTTTCATGATGATCAAAAGTAAAATGTCCCGATGTCCCCGAATTCTACAAACCTATTTATCTATCCTCTGTATCGTAATATCATCCACATCAAGATTAAATACACAAAATAAATAACATTCTCTTAAAAAAAAAGAGGAGAAGTATAGCTTCATAAATCTTTAGACTTTTTTATTTCATGGCACACGAGAAAGATGTAATATATACTTATAAAAACACAGACAACCTTCGATCATTACATAAACATCTGATATCTGATCCAGGATGCGTTAGATGAAACTTTAGTGCAATAGTTGAATTGCGTGTAGGTTTTTTTTTTAGCAGTGGGAGGAAACCGGAGGACCCGGAGAAAACCCACGTGGTTGGACAGGCGATCCTACTCTTTGTCACGTACAACCGGGGAATGGCAACCACGCCAGTTAACTCATTGACTGACCTTATGATACAAGGCGCACGCGCTAACCATTCGCCCCCCCCCCCCTCCCCTCTCCTTGGGGGATAACGTGATTCGAGAAGAAATTTTTGTGAACATTCTGTAAAACTCTTGTGGTAAAAAACAAAGTACACACCACTGACAAAAGACATTCTATCAAAATTATTTATCTAAGTCGAAAATCACGTGGAATGTGGTTTTGGGTCATCTGGGATGAAAGTTTTAAAATATAGCAATACCTTGTGATTGTTGTATATGAAAATTTTGTAGGATCATTTGAATTCAATAGAAGTAATAGGATTCGATAATTTAAATGAATCCCTTAATAAGAAGGGATCCAATACAATCATTTTCTCGAAAAGATGTTAAATCTGTTTTTATTTCTATAATGCAAACAGTTGTCCAAGTGAAATCCTATACACTTATTTAGACACAATAAGAAGGGATCAAATACAATCATTTTCTAGGAAAGATACACTTATTTAGACATGTATAATGCATGAAATGGATATCATTTATATGAGCATTATCACCAATTTAAATAAAACACAGATCCTATTTCGTTTCGTTTTTTATACTTCAAAATTTCGTTTTACTTGTTATATAACCCGCGTTCTGGATGATGGGAGGGATAAGCTAATGAAGGTCTGTTACGGCGAGTTTTTGGCGTGAGGTGCACGGAACTGTAGGTAACCAACTAGAAATATCAACGCTGATTGATTAATCGAATGGCTGGCGTTATGGGTCAAAAGCAGCTTGTCTGAACACTGCCGCGACCTTCCCAGCAACCGGTCAGATCTTCATGTAATAGAAGCCATCGAAAGTATAAAAAAACGAAACGAAATATAGATCTGTATTTTAATCTGATTGTATTATCACATTTCCCGTCCATTTTAGAAGGAGAGAAATGGGGTTTGACGTCCACTCAACACAAACTAGGTAATTTCGGGACTAATACATGGAGGAAACCGGAGGACCCGGTGAAAACCAACGTCACGTACAACCGGGGAATCGAAACCACGCCAGTTGACTCAATGACAGAGCTTATGATAAAGCGCGCACGTGCTAACCATTCGGCCATCCAATCCCCTCCCCCTCCCCAGTCAATTTTAGCATTTGTGTCTCACCGGACCGCCTCCACACAGCCCCCCTCCCCCGCATGGAATATATAACAGTCGTCCAAGACAATTCTATTTATTTATATACCGATGTAAATTTCCAGCAAATAATGTTTTACTTAATTAAACAATCATCGACATAATGAATTTCCACCCAATTTTAGACATTTGACCCCAAGCCCTCCCTCTATCTCGGACAACCCTGCATGAACACATTATCACCGCCTAGAATCGCGGTCAAACTTGGTCTCATGACTTCTCCGCTTGAGTGGCTATACTCCCCCTTGAGCCACAGGACTAAAATAATCCCTGGACTGTCCATTCTATTTTTATTACAAGCGCCTTGTGAAGGGTTAATGGGTCAAGTCGTATATTTCAATACAAGCTGTAAAGCTATATAGAGTGGGAATGTCACTAAAGAAAAACGCTTGTCTGAACATTGTACGATACATGGTGTGAATGTATAGAATATGTAAAAGGCAACGAGATAATTAATAATATAGCCACTGACCTGTACGTGACAAACGAACTGGGCGGAATAATAATTTAGTCGACACTCTAAACATGCACGTAATTATATAACGAACAGTACATCACTACTACACAGTAATATTACAATGCGCTCATCTTTAAACTGGTACGGACATATTAAAAACCTTTATACACCAGCGGATTACAGGTAGGTTAATGAAGTAAATAACAAACACTATAAGTGGTACGAGAGAGAGAGAGAAAGAGAGAGAGAGAGAGAGAGAGTGAGAGATTTCAATAATTCGCTTGCGCGTAGGGGTCTTTAGCAGTGGGAGGAAACCGGGGGACCCGTAGAAAACCTATGAGGTTGGACAGGCGACTCTACTCCTTGTCACGTACAACCGGGGAATCGAAACCACACCAGTTTACTTCATGACAGACCTTATGATACAACGCGCATAACCTAGCATTAGATAAAAACAACAGTCTTGGAACTACCTTAGCACAGACTCTTCAAATCGTCTTTTGTCGTCTCTTATTGGACAAATTGTCAAAATCAGTCAACCATTTTATGGTAATACAAACAACACGATCAAACCCCGATAGTAATCATCAATAGGCAAATATGTTTAAATAAATATTGTTTATCATTTCAGTTCATGCTCAGTAAACACGTCTTTCAAAACCTGATCGGGTCATGTCTATCATATAAAAGCCTTATATATCTACTCGTATGGCGGTTTGTGCATTCGGCTGATAAACATACAAAAAGACGGTCACTTTTTGTAAAGTCACTATCATCTTTAGCTTAGAAATTTACTTACTTTATCAAGATTCGTGCTATTTAACATCAGTGTTAGATCTGGAGAGTCACAGACGGATTGTAATTTAGCGATTGACTATTGTTTATAGAGATCTTACATTTAACAAAAATAGTTTCACAGGACTTTTTTGTTATTGATCTGGACTAAGATCAGAATGTCGGACAAGTACAAGATATTTGATACAACTTCAGTTGCGAGCAGTGGTGGTGTTAGTATTAGAGGATATAGTTTTAGGAAGAGAGAGATAGCACTAGGAGCTGTTCTCTTAGTAGCTCTTCTTGTGATTTTCATATTAGCCGGACTCCTAGCACAATCCAAACAAGATGCAGCAGCAGCAGCGTCAGCGTCGGCGTCGGCGCCACAAGCTCAAGTCGGAGGAGACTCATCCAGTTCTACGGCGTCTTCACAAGGCACCCCGACAAAACCCGCTCCGACACAATCTGCAGATACGACCACTTCGACACAACCACCTGATGGAAGCTGTGTAAATACATGCCTATCTCCAACATGTTTAAAAAGTGCCGCTTTTGTTACAAGCAACTTGAATATGACAGCTGATCCCTGCACCAACTTTTACCAATATGCCTGTGGTTCATATGCCGCCAACAATCCTTTACATCCAGATTATTCAGCCCGGACGGTTCTTTCCCAGATTTATTATGAAAACCAAGTGAAGCTACAAACAGTCTTACAGACGTCCACGCAAAGATTATCACCCAATTCTGCTGAACGAAAGTTGAAGGACTTTTTCACATCTTGTACTGACCAGTTCGGAAAAGACCAGGTGAAGGGAGGTGTATTTTTAGAAAAAGTATTACCTGGCGTAGGAGGATGGTATGTCTTGGATACTTGGAATTCGGCGACCTATGATTATAAAGCTATGTTGAACAAAGTGCATGTGGATTATTGGACGGATGCATTTTTTACGTTTTCTGTTAAAACGGACTGGCTTGATTGGCGAAAGACTGCTATTCAGGTAAGTCGCATCTTCAAGCCCTTCAACGTAATATCCTACATTTTTCGTCATTAATTTCGATTGGTTACTTACCCACCTGGGGACCTATCAGATTCCTCGATAGAAAATGTCATCGCTAATACCAAGTCACACCCTTTCCATCTGAAATATCTAGCTGTGAAAATCGAGTTGCAAAGTTCGATGTTCGTTCAATGTCAGTCACGGCTGCTGGACCTTCCCGCTTTTCAGCTAGGTTTATGCTGTGACCCACCTCAAATCTTAGTCCAAACCTTTCTAATTTAATATTTGTTCTCCCATTATGCTACCTTTCTTCCTTCGTCCGTGAGGTTTTCAACTATAAAAACACGCTTCCAACAACAACTGTGCCCCGTCTTCATTAGACGGATCGAAGCAGAACAGTAGGACGTTGAATCCCATTTTATTTCATTTCAACAGCTGTAGACGAATCTCTTCCTTTGTATGTTTGTATCACGCTTTTGTAGCAAAGGGAGATAACGTACCTAAAAGTTTGGGAATTTCAGACTCATCTAGTAAACTAGATGTTGTAAAACTCGCAGTCGTTGCTTCAAGAACATTGGTACGATTGTACTTTGCATCTGCTGGTGAATGATGTCTATTGATCACAAGGACTCGAGGTAAAAAAAATGTGTTTTTCCGTAATACCTGGTGCTGTTACTCAATTACCGGCAAGTTCAAATCATAACTAACAATTTAGAACAAGGTAACCCCACCCAGTCTTTTTTCTGTAAAACCTGGTGCTGTAACTTGATTACCGGCACGTTCATAGCACAACTAACAATTTAGAACACAGTAACACCCCCCCCCCCCACACACACACACACACACACACACCACCACCACACACAACACCACCACCAGCCTTAGCTATTTGAAGATGGAATCTGGCCACCAACATGACGGACAGGGCATTCTAGCAAGCGTGGACTTAAAGGGGCCGGTGGTGGTGGGGGGGATATTTGGAACCGACCCCCGCCCCCTTATTCTCAGCTTCTAGATCCGCTACTGCATTCTAGATCAACGCAATGGTAGAAAGCAATGTAGACTATATTATTATGTTTGATTTTCGACACTGTTTCATGTAAATTTGATTGAAGTTATACAGAGAGTAAACAAAGAAAGAGAATATAGGAGTGCATATATTCAACCTCTCGACTAAAAACAAGTGAATATATTCAACCTCTCGACTAAAAACAAGTGAATATATTCAACCTCTCGACTAAAAACAAGTGAATATATTCAACCCCTGACTAACAACAGGTGAATATATTCAACCTCTCGACTAACAACAGGTGAATATTATGTACTACTACACATATTTTAATCAGTTGCTTTAATTTATGTCTGGTCGGTATCTGAATTTAATTTATGTCTGGCCAGTATCTGAATTTAAGTTACAACATACGTTAAATACTACTTAGCCGTGATGAAACAAAGGGAAGAAGATAGAAAATGGTACAAATTAATTTTTACACCGGGACTTGGTTTTATAATACACAATTTCTGATTAAAACACAGATCCTATTTCGTTTTTAATAGTTCAAAATTTCATTTACATGTCTTTACTACACTAGGATCTGGGAGAGTTTTTATATAACCCACTTTGTGGATGATGTGGGGATTAGCCAATGAAACGGTCTGTTACGGCGAGTTTTTGGCGTGCGATGCACGGAACTGTAGGTATCCTACTAGAAACATTGACGATGATTGGTTAATCAAATGTCTGATGTCATAGGGTCAATAGAAACTCGAATGACCCCTCACGAGACCTTCCACTACAGCTTGTCAGATCTTCATGTAGTGTAGGCCATCGAATGTATAAATTTTTCAAAGAATAAAATACGCAAGGATTAGATCGATGAGCGATGAATATTAATTCATATTAGAATTATTCTATGAATTCCGTCAATTCCAACACTGTGTACGCGGAACCTCGGTTTTTTGTCCCATCCGAACGACTAGACAGCTGTCCTTGTCAGGCCCTCCGTCCTGCATCACTGACAAGTGAGAACCACGCCGGAAAATCTGGATGAACTTTCTCGCCCAACACTGGGATCGAACACCCGACCTTCAGACTAGCGAGTAATAAATTATAGGTTAATGAAATAAATAACAACCAATATAAGTGCTACTAGAGAGAGAGAGAGAGAGAGAGAGAGATAGAGAGAGAGAGTTTATGGCTTTAACGTCCACTCGACACAAAATCGGTCATTTCGGGACTAACATATGGTTCAATTTTATTTCAATAATTCGCTTGCGTTTAGGGGTCTTTAGCAGTGGGAGGAAACCGGATGACCCCTTAGTAGACCCACGAGGTTGGACAGGCGACCCTGCTCTTTGTCACGTACAACCGGGGAATCGAATCCACGCCAGTTGACTCAATGACAGACCTTATGATACAGCGCGCATGTGAAACCATTCGACCATTCGGCCATCGACCCCCCCCCCCCCCAATAGGGATGTAGGACCAACAGATGTAAAAGTAAAGGCTATTGTAGGAGTCAGGGAGAGAGAGAGAGAGGGAGAGAGAGAGGAGAGAAAGAGAGAGAGAGAGAGAGAGAGAATGGGTTTAACGTCCACTCGACACAAACTAGGTCATTTCGGGACTAACATATGGTTTAATTATATTTCAATAATTAGCTTGCGCGTAGGGGTCTTTAGCAGTGGGAGGAAACAGGGGGACCCGGAGAAAACCCACCAGGTTGGACAGGCACAACCGGGGATTCGAAACCACGCCAGTTGACTCAATGACAGGCTTTATGATACAGCACGCACGTGCTAACCATTCGGCCATCCACCCCCACACCCCAGGAGTCAGGGAACCAACTCACCTATAAGTGCAGGGGTACTGCACCAGACATAATTTACACAAAAACAAATATATGAACAAGACACAAGACGCAGAAAATCACGAAGAAACGAACATATCAAATTAAGTGAATGGATCCGGGGGCTAGCTGTAGGCGTTCGTGCGCTGTACAGGTCCTGTAATGGCACATACGTCAATCAAAATTGAAAAACAATCAAGAATATAACCCAGAGAAAACCATTGTGTAGTACTAGCGTAAGATGGATTTGATTAAAGACTTTTTCTGCGATATCTCTTCGATGAAAGCTATTTCACACACGGTTAGAGATATTTAATATTTGGGTAGGTTACACCATGGTACGCACGATAATAGAATTGATAAAAAAAATCTAAAATCTTTATAAATAGATTTATTTATAACTGTGCGATTATTAGACCATAAAGTACGTAAACAAAATTATAATATGACATGGAATGTCTATTAAAAAACATCATTTCATGCCACTTAATGTCTATTAAAAAAACACCATTTATGTCACGGAATGTCTATTTAAAAAAAAAAAACCACCATTTCATGTCACGGAATGTCTATTTAAAACCACCTTTACATCATTTCATGCCACTTAATGTCTATTAAAAAAACACCATTTATGTCACGGAATGTCTATTTAAAAAAAAAACCACCATTTCATGTCACGGAATGTCTATTTAAAACCACCTTTACGTGTCACGGAATGTCTTTTAAAAAAAAAAAAAACACCATTTCATGTCACGGATTGTCTATGTAAAAACACCATTTCATGTCACGGAATGTCTATTAAAAACACCTTTATATGTCACGGAATGTCTTTAAAAAAAACAAAAAACAAGGAGCTAGACGGTTTAAGTGAATTTAACCTGTAACTCAAGATTATCCATAAAATTCGAAATTAAAAACACAAATTAAAATTCAATATCGGTCCACTTCAATCAATATTGATGTATTGATGCGAAACTATGAGGTTCTAATATCCAATATTTAAGATATAATGAACACGTTAAAATCGGTACACGAGACGTGTATTCTACGGATTGGACTCTTCACGTATTTCACAGAACAATACCGAATTGATATTAACACAAAAAAAATAAACAATTGTTTATAAATCAAATGACAAAATAATAATAATAAATAAACGTTTAGAACGGACGAAGCAGGCGTAAACAACTGCTGTTCTCTTTGGACTGTATTTTACCGAACATAATTGATTAGAAATTACAATTTTTTTAAAACAAAACTGATTATAAATCACTATATATACATTCATTTTACATTAATATCAGCTTTTAGATCCATTTTCGTCTGTTATAAGGGGGGGGGGGGGCGGGGGGCCAAACGGTTAGCACGTGCGCGCGCTTTATCATAAGGCCTGTCATTGAGTCACGGTTGTACGTGACAAGGAGTAGGTTCGCCTGTCCAACCTCGTCGGTTTTCTCCGGGTCCTCCGGTTTCTTCCCACTGCTAAAGACCCCTACGCGCGAGCGCATTATTGAAATAAAATTAAGCCATATGTTAGTCCCGAAATGACCTAGTTTGTGTCGAGTGGACGTTAAACCCCTCTCTCTCTGTTGTAAGGTTAAAAAATGGACCAATACGCCCTTTAACCGACAGTCCAAGCAGATAAAATAAATAAACACCAATCTATTTAAATATAAACACAACCAAATAACTATTATAAAGAATGTTCTGCCTTGTACGCTGGAGATAATGTACAATATAAATGCATCTAAATTTTAGATATGATTGCTTGATATACGTTTTGGACTAATGGTTTTAAATAGCTGTGAATACCCGTTAACCTACGTGGTGTTCCTAAAAACAACAGCGCATATCGGATTTTAACGTCCTGGATGACAAGCCCTAATTGTACGAAAAATCACGTCTTTGGCTTGTGATCCGTCTAGAGGTCACAATTTGTGCATATCGAATTTGTTTTGAGGGTGTTTAGCAAAAATGAGAACGACTAATGCGCAGACCACGAGCCGAACACTGTATGTGCAAGCTTTCTAGGGGATCCGGGGGCATGCCCCACCGAAGAAATCATTTAATTTAGAGTCCCTGAAATGCGATTTCCTGGACTTTGGGGGAGGGGGAGATTTGGTGAATTCTGATCTTCAGAAAACGCTTATAACA